TGTATCAGTAAGAATTTGTTCAGGAGAGAAAAACAAAAGTTCTTGCTTATACAACTGTTGCAAGAGGTGAGGAACAGAGGTCAGGGAACTTGCACTTGAAAACTAAAAAGTCCAAAACTAAAGATTTCAGCCTGAGCATAAAATAGATGGTTTCAAAAGATTAGTGGGCAGTGGCTGCAAATCTCAAGAATCACTGAAAAACTCCTCCAAATGTCTTGGTCTGATGCGTAATGCAGGTGGCTCTTAGCTCAATGGGAAACTACTGTGAAGCTTGTATCTACCCATATTTCTGGCTATAAATACCTCCAGAGAATAATGGTTTCTTCTCTTGCCTTCTAAACTTCTCATGAGTTCCTCTCATTGGAAGACATTAAACATGAACAATACAGAAAAGAAAAATCTGGAAAATGTAGCTTCTAGCCTTGCCACTGCAATTCAGGAAAAGCTTAGAAGTAGGTGTTAATAATGCAAAGTTAGCAACAGTCTAGTTATGGCATAAGGAGAAGAAAGGGGGGTTGAGTAAGAGTCTGAAAGTGTCCATATGCAAGTCCCAGAATAGGATGAGGGATGCATGGGACAGAGCCACCCTACATGAGTCCACTTTAGATCAGCGAACGTGCAACGAGCCACAGAAGCACCAGTGAGATCAGCCGAGTCCAGAAAAAACTACCATCCTAAGCTAGATCAGCCAAGCCCCAACCAACCTTCAGATTGATAAGTAGCATAAATGCTTGTTGGTGAATACTGCTGGGCTATTGTGGCCATTTGTCACCCAGCATTTTTTTGTGGCAACTGTAACTGATATACAGGGGTACAAAAAAGCCTTTATATCACAAGGACCAGTGTAAGTAACATCAGTGGAGTGCAAAAATGTATTCCTGCTATAGAAGTGAGGAGGAAGGAGTAAATATTCTTTCAAACAATAATTCAGTATATCACACTTAATACCTGGGATGTTGAATACCTACTACTCAGGAAGTGACATTTTTTTTCTGCTATTCTTTGAAATTTCATTTATTTGAGGGTTGTTTTTCTCCTCTGCTGAATAAAAACTCTTATGGATCCCATAAATTCTTTTCTAACCTTTAGATATTAAAAAGGGTAAGGATTACTTTCTACCACAAACATGTCTC